AGGAGGATCGCTTGAGCCCAGGAGTTTGAGGTTGCTGTGAGCTAGGATGACGCCACGGCACTCTAGCCCGGGCAACAAAGTGAGACTCTGTCTCAAAGAAAAAAAAAAATGGAAATGCTAGCAGGTAGGGGCCCTTTAGGAATCCTAAACAGAGTCACTGTTCACACAAAGCAGACATCCCCCAGGCACAGGAGGGCAGCCCCGCATTGGAGCCAGAACAGAAATTCACTCAGTAATGGAACCTTACCAAGGGTCCAAGGAAATGGACCTGACACTTCAGCAAAATCTTAACTGTGGTCACTGCCCTCTGCTTAAGAAGCCAAAGATAATAATGCACATGTATTTTTTCTAAAGAGCACCCCAGTGCTTCAAAGATTAGCAGCTAAACGGTGGACACGCAATCGACGTGGCTCAAACGAAACGTTTTATGCCGTCCACTAGGAGGCATGCTGGCATCGTCCCAGAGCTACCTACTTTGCATGGGGTTTATTCCTGAACTCCAGAGCAGCCAGAATAATAAAGCAAAATCATGGTGTGTGAGCTCTTTGAATACAAGTTTCTATATTTAAGTGCCTATGGGTGGAAATATTCCAGAGGTGTTATGTATTCAAAATTGCTATTTTTATGTACTCTTGGTATTTAAAATGCAGAGCCGTGCAAGCTCCGGAGGGATGCGTGCAAAGCAATTAGACATACCAAAAAGAGGGGAGACGGAGAATTTAAAGATCAGAATGATTATAGAACTAATGGGATTCTAAAAGGTTTTGGGAATTTAAAGGAAACTTAAAAGCTTATAATTTATTCTTCCTAAGGACACCATTTATTTGCACCGCCCGCCCCCCCGCCTTTTCTGATTGTATTTTTAGTGGAAACAAAATCTAAAAGAAGGCCGTCTAGAAGGATTGTTGTAACTCTGATGTTAAAACAGAATTGATTTTATTATCAAAAGATGATTGGCTATTTATTTGCATATACAGTCATGCAAAATACATTCTGTAGCTTACCAGTGAAGGGTGTGACTTGTTCCCTAGAAAATCTGATGGGATGGAGACCTGAGAAGTCAGGTGGCCCGTCCAGTGTTACTCAGCTAGACAGTGGCTAAGCTGGGACCTGAACCCAGAACTGGGTATGGAAATCCTGCCTTGTTTTTCTCAGGATTTTTTTCTGAATTTCTGTTCTCTCCAGGGCTACCTGTGGCCTGGAATCAGTGGAGTCTCTTCCTGTTACTTGATTTTCAAAGCTCCAGAGTGCACTACAGAGCTTTGTTTTGCTGGTCATATTAGCAGAGAACACTGGTATTGGGGGTTTGGTTTCATTTTTTTTTTTTAAACGATATTCCTATTATCTACAGGCCTTATTCAAATGTTGTCAATTGTCCTAAAACTGCTCTAACAAAAGGGAAAAAAATTTTTTCAGGTCCAGGATCCAGTCCAGGATTTCACGTTGCATTTGGTTGTCATAAATCTTTAGTCTCTTTTGATGGGAACAGTTCCTTTGTCTGTCTTTGTCTTCTACCACCTCTGAAGAATGCAGCCCAGTTATGCTGTTGAGCCTCTCAAGTTGGATTTGTCTGATATTCCCTTAAGATTAGATTCAGGTTATGAGATTTTGGCAGGAGCACAACAGAAATGATGCTGGCTTCTCAGTTTATCACATCGGGAGGCACACGCCGTCTCTCCAGCCCATCACTAGCCACGTGTGCTCTGATCACTTGATTAGGGTGGTCTCTGCCAGGTTTCTTCCCTCTAAAATTACTATTTCTGCCTATTTTGGAGGAAGTATTTTCAGATTATGTAAATACGCAGTTTCTCATCAGACTCTCACCCTCTGGTTTTAGCATCTCTTTGTGATTCTTTCCTGAGGCAGTTATTACCGTGATGGTTGCCAAATGGCACTTTCTCTAATTCGGTCATTCCTTCCGCATCACTCTACAATAGAGTTGATATTCCATTGTGAGGAAGCTCTTATCTGTGTGTGCTCTTGGATTCTTATTTTAGTCCATGGTCTGTAATTCATTATCATTATTTATTTTAATGCTCAATTGTCCTATATTTGGCCAATGGGCAGGGCCCTTCGTGCTGCCTCCCGTGACCTTTCAACATGTCCCCATCATTCTTTCAGCACTTCCTTCGTTTCTGGCAGGAGACATTCCAGGCCCACTTCGTACTTCCCAGCCCCGGGATCCAACATTTCTCCAAGGAGCCCAAGTTCCTTGTGGTGGAGAATGGTGTCCAGAAACAAAAGCTGGGCTGGGTGTCATTGTCTCTAGGCCCTTTCAGTGGACAGAGCTAGGAACTACATGGACGTGTTATATAATGTGTGTGGTGTGTGTATGTATCGTTCTGTGTCCGTTCACAGTTATTCAAAATCATGAGGAACCATACTGACAGCTCAAATGCGTCTAACACCACAGTTTCAGTGTGGTTATGTTATTACATGATTTCACTCATAGTTCTATTCATTTTTATTCCATTTTAGGGGCTCCCTCCCATTCTTACTGATTTTGTGTTTTGGTTTTGACGGTTTTGTTGTTGTTGTTTTGAGTGTTTGAAAACATTAACGTAGCCCCAAAAGTCAGAGCTATACAGAAGGCTAACTCCCTCTTCACCCCGTTGCCCTGTTCTCACGCCGCCATCCTTTCCCCCACCCTGCAAGGACCAGTCTCATTATCTGGTTCCTCCTTCCTCTGTTTCTTTTTGCACCA